CTTGATGACAATGTGACGTCTTTAGGAGACACAAAAGCTTACAAGTGCAGCTCTATGCCAAGGTTTAACGAATGGATTTAGCATCGCTGCAAAATGAAGGCCTGACCTGGTTTTATTGTGAGTCTCCTCTGTAAAGCCAGATGGTTAGATAGACTTGTGTCGTCCTTTTAAAGAATGGCCACTGTGAGGCCTGTGAGTGCGGATCATCTTACCCCCCCACTACAAGCCTGCAGCCTCAGCCATTAGTTTGTTCTGAGCTCTGGAGATCGCTCAGGCCCCTCGCGGGAGCAGGACAAGCAACCGGGCGATGTTGTGTGGCCCCACACTAACAAGTGTCACAGTGATCCGAAGCAGTCCTCCCCCTATGTGAATGCCATGTGAGAGGCGGCTCCATCCATGCCCCAGCCACCTCCGCACAAGGCCCTCCATTGACTTCTAACCTGATGAGGGACCACGGGAGACAAAGGGTGCCTGGGCGGGACCCGTCCCTCCGACAAGCCTGTGAACAAACGCTAACACGGCTGCAACTGTCCGCCCCCTGAATCACTGAATTTATTGACCAACCACAGAGCCCATTCAGGCCAGGAAGGGCTGATAAATGAAGGGGGACAGCGATGCCATCAGGGCTCGGGTAAGAAGCCGATGCTCAGGGGGACATTAGGGAGGTGAGGGGCTTTGTGACCAGCTGGTGGGTCACAGACCTTTTAGCAGACGCGGTTTCCTTTGTATCATCTGTAAAATGAGGCCTGTGAGCATCAGGTTGGCCTTATGTCCCAACCATTAATCACTAAAGGGGCCTATTTTGGGTCCAAGCGTTTTGGTAAAAAACGGTAATCAAACCGGACCATCGGAAAGTAAGGATATAACAAAATAACTTTAAAAGTTGAAAACGAAGGGATAATTTAGGATGTTTGAAGATTAAAAGTCTATTTACAATCAATATCTGACATCCAGCAGAGTTCTTTCTCAGGATCATCTTTATCATAAATGCAGATTTGAAACAGATCCATAGAAACTGTTATTTCCTAAAACTATTTTCATTGTTCTAACAGTTTATCATATGGTTAGGGCATATAGCTTGCAATCCTGAGGTTGTGAGTTCGAAACC